AGTGGCGGCGCTAGGCTCGCACCATATATCACAATGATAATCTTTTCTAAAATCAACATTTTCCAAGCTTGTGATCCAACAATTAAAGGCTTCGCGATTGATCCAAATATAGACTTGAGCTTTATTATGGCGGCGCTAGGCTCGCACCACTTATTACTTCACACATATAATTATCACAAACGGACTCCAAAATTGATTTCCAACTTGACTTGCTCCAAAATTTGATGAGTTGGTCCCGTGAAGAAACTTAAAAGGTGTCTCAATAGCGTATATCTCTTATGGAATCACAATTTCACAAATTCAAAGTGCTCTTGAATCTCCTTCCAAGAGGAGACACAGTTTGCTGATGGGTCGCGAATAGGTGCCCGTCTTGGTCTTCACCTCCGCCCGTCGAACCATTCCCTGTCGATCTGGAGTGATGCCGATGATTACTCCCATGAGCCAGAAGTTACGAGGTGCTGTCTCGTTCACTACCAGCACTACGTCACCAACCTGGATGTTGCGACTAGGATGTACCCACTTCTGCCTGGCCTGGAGCTGCGGCAAGTACTCTCTCAGCCAACGTCGCCAGAAGACGTCTGCCAGATATTGAACCTGCCGCCATCTACGTCGTGCGTAGCAGTCGGTCTGCCTACTAACCGATGGGGGTAACATCGGGGTAGCCTTCAACGTCAGGAGCTTGTTTGGTGTCAGAGCCTCTAGATCGTTAGCATCGTCTGAAACCCTGGTGATGGGTCTGCAATTGATAATGCCTTCTATTTCACAGAAGAGTGTCTGCAAACTTTCATCCGTCATGGTCTGCTGTTTGGTAAGGAAGAAGAGCAGCTGTCGAATCGTCCTGATCTGTCTCTCCCATACGCCCCCGTGGTGTGAACCTCCAGGTGGATTAAAGGTCCACTTGATGTTTACTTGCAATAGTGAGTTGCTGAGCTGGGCCTGGTTCCAGCTCTCAAGTTCTTTTCTTAGTTCTTTCTCAGCCCCAACCAAGTTCGTTCCATTGTCCGATCTCATTTCTCTGACTGCTCCTCTTCGAGCAATAAATCTCTGAATTGCTGCGATACAGGAATCCGTATCTAGTGAATCAGCCTTCTCTATGTGTATGGCCCGAATGGCGAGGCAAGTGAACACTACGCCATATCTCTTGACTGTAGAGCGTCCTCTTTTCACTCCTATCGGCCCAAAATAATCGACTCCAACTCGTGTAAAAGGTGGATCGTCCGGTCTCAGTCGGTCTATGGGTAGGTCGGCCATCTTCTGTTGGATTACCCGCCCTCTTTGACGTCGGCACTTGACACATTTCTTGACGACTTTCCTGATGGCTGAAATTGCACCAACTATGTGATATCGTTGCTGGAGTTTTGCCAAGACATAGTTTCTTCCCATATGTCCTGAGTTTTCATGAATGTGCCGCAAGATGAGTTCAGACACATGTCCTCTCTTTGGTAGGATGACTGGATGTTTTGCTTCTTCAGGCAAGGCTGCCTTGTTAAGTCTTCCTCCTACTCTAAGTAGGCCATTGTCCATCTGAGGGTCTAATTTGTAGATAGGGCTTGATTTTCTGACCCCTGGCTGCAACCTTCCTGTCCTTTGGTTGACATCGTGTGCCTGTTTCCTCAAAGCCACAACCTCTACTGGGAACGCTCTGTCTTGAACGTGTATCAGTATTGCTTCCTCAGCTTGTCTAATATCTTCCACTGTCAATAACATGGGTGGATTCTCTCGTGTGTTCTGCTGACCTTTCATTTTCTCTTTCAGCAGCCCTTTCAATTTTAGTAGCCATGCTACTCCCTTTCTGAGGTGGTACCAGTCTGAATAATGGTTGATCAATCTTTCCAGGACATCATCTTCTTCCTCTTTGCTCACAGCAGTGGCCATACATTTGCTCTCACTGGCCGTTACTTCCGAGACCTCTGTAACGTACATCTTCTTCTTCTTCACCTCGGGATCATTGTTTACGTCGTGTGATGCATTTCTGGGTTGCTTAGGCCACTGGTCCTCTGAAGCTTGAAGAAATTCGGGTCCTTCCTTCCAGAATCTCATTGCTAGGAATCGATCTACCTTGACTCCCCTGGAGCATACATCTGCCGGATTCAGCGAAGTTTCTATGTGGTGCCATTGACTTGATTCAGATCCTTCTTGTATCAGGGCAACTCGGTTGGCGACGAATGTCTTAAACCTCCCTGTTTCGCTTTGGATATACTGTAGTACAGAGGTACTATCAGTCCAGAAGAAGGTCTCATCTACTGGGATGTCAAGTTCTTGTTTTACCATTTTGTCTATCCTTACTGCTACCGTGGCGGCTGTAAGCTCCATTCTCGGGATCGACGTCTGTTTAAGAGGGGCCACTCTAGATTTGCTCAAGAGGAATGAGCATTGGACTTCATCCCTGGTATTCACCATTCGCAAGTATGACACTGTTCCATATCCCTTCTCACTTGCATCTGCAAAATGGTGCAGTGTCACAGACTTTGGGTTTTCATACCCCTCTGGCTTCAAACACCTGGAAAGTTTAAAGTCTGACAGTCTTGGGAGTTCTCTTTTCCATGTTTCCCATTTTTTCAGCAGGTCTGGTGGAATCGTCTCGTCCCATCCTAATCCTAGTCGGCAGAGGGTCTGAAGTAAGTGCTTTGCAGGGAGTAGCACTGGGGAAGCACATCCTAGTGGATCGAACAGGGAGCACACTGTTGACAAGATACCCCTCCTTGTGGCTAGCTTGTCTTTCAGCTGAATCTTGAAACTGAAAACATCTTCATCTGTATGCCACAGCATGCCAAGTGCCCTCTCTGTTGGCAACTTATCCTTGTCAAAGTCTAGCTCCTGCACTGTACTTGCTCTCTCCTCCTTGGGTATGGCATTCAATACTCTTCTGTCATTGCTCACCCATTTTGTGAGGTGGAATCCTCCTTTCTTACAGGCTTCTTGTAGGCCCTCTGATAGCTCTGCAGCTTCCTGGACTGTTGAGCTTGAGTACAAACAATCGTCAACATAAAAGTTGCGCTTGATGATATGTGCCACCTTGTCCTCTGCAAAGTCTTCTGCTGTGCGCTTCAGGGCATAATTGGCACAAGCTGGTGAAGATCTAGCCCCAAACACATGAACAGTCATGCGGTATTCCTCAATAGGTTGAGCGACATTGCCATCTGGCCACCACAGAAATCGATGTAGATCCTTTTCTTCCTTTAGCAGTTTCACTTGTGAGAACATGGCTTCTATGTCTGCCATTACTGCTATGCGGTCTTGACGAAACCTTGTTAATACACCCACCAAACTATTTGTGAGGTCCGGCCCCTGTAGAAGATTGTCATTCAGTGACTTGCCCTTGAAAGAAGCTGCACAGTCATACACCACTCTAATTTTTTGCTTCTGTGGGTGATATACACCGTGGTGAGGAATAAACCACATCTTTCCATCTTCTCTAAGGAACTCGTCTTCTGGTACTCTTTCAGCGTACTGTTTGTTCAGCACCTTATCCATAAACCCTGCATACTCCCTATGGAACTGCGGCTGTCTTGCGAACTTCCTCTGCAGGTGGTTGAGTCTCTGCTCTGCCATGGGCCTGTTGTTGGGCAGGTCGACGTCTCCCTTGAATGGCAGTCCGATTTGGTAATGCCCTTGTGTTAGCTTGATGGATCCTTCAACCTTTTCCATAAATCGTTTATCCTCTTTGGATTCTTCGACTTTATCTTCCATCAAGCGTTCTGAAAACTCAGTGTTGTAGAGATTATTTAGCTGTTGCTGAATATCTTCCATCACGTGGACTCTGTGGGAGGCTATCTTGGACCCACTTCTCTCTTGCTTGCAGCTTCCAAAAACCATCCACCCTATGATAGATTTGCAAGCGAATGGTCCGTCGTTCTGACTATTGATAACCTGCAGTGGTTCCATTGCTTTAGGGACGTTATTGCCAATGAGGATGCCCACGTCTGCATTGATCTCCGGCAAGTTTATTTCTTGTAAGTAGGGCCATCTTGCAATGTCATTCCTTCTCGGTATGTCTGACTTGTCTACAGGGATGGGCTGTATGTAGACGTCAGAAAGTGGTATATATGTGTTCTCATTCACATCAGCTACCTCCAGGTCTTGCAGTATGCAGGTCTTGACCAGCTTATCATCTGTTAATGTTTGAAGCTGGATAGTGCGCGTTCTTCCTCTGGCATTTAGTTTGTTTTTTAACTCTTCTGTGCAGAAAGTTGCGTTACTCCCGTTGTCAATGAATGCGTATGTGTGTACACATTTCCCTGTCTGCTTTGAGCGTACAGTCACAGGCACAATGGCCGGTTGGGAGTCCTGCATAGAAGTGCGGTTGGATAACGTGCGCTTTACGTCTGGGAAATTTTCATTTCCAATTTCTTCTCCTTCTGTTTGTCCTTCCAAGCTTTCCTCCTTCTTCCTATTAGCTCCAACGTCGTCATTAGTACGTTGTTTCTCTGATTCACCATTCCTTTTCACTTGTTTCGATGGTGCCCAATCTCTATGAAGAAGGGTGGGGTGTAACCTTTGACAAATCTTGCAGGTCGTCCTCTGTTTACAGTCCCTGGCAAGATGTGAAGACTGAAGGCAGGCAAAGCACAGTCCTTTGGATTTGCAAAATGCAAGTTTCTCCTCATGAGGTTTCTTTCCTAGGGCCTTGCATTCTGCTGTAAGGTGATTTTCCATGTCACAATACAAACACTTCGCTTCCTCGCTCTTCTTCATGCTGGAGCTGAAGCCCTGTTTCTTCCCTGGAAAGGGTTTTGTCTTTGTCTGCGTTTCTCCAGCTCTGGCAGGTCCTACAATATTGCCATAGATAGGGTTGTTGATTATCCGGGCCTGTTTACTAATGAAACTAACCACGTCTTTGAATGAGAGTGGCTCGTCCCGATTCTGGAGTATGCCGTCGACATAGCTCCTCCATCTATCTCTCAGCCTGAACGGCAGCTTTGATATGACCATCTTCAAGTGTTGTGCGTGGTCAATCTCCTGTTGAAGGTGTAGGTCCTTAGCCAAATTGCCTAGCTCAGTCACAAACAATGAATAACTAAGCAGGCCTCCGGATCCTCACCTCTAATGTTTGGCCATGCCATTGCCTTGATGATCATAGAGTCCAGAACATGATGCTTATCGCCAAACTTGCTTTCTAGCAGCATTGTTGCCTTGTTGAATGCTGCCTTGGAATCACCTCCATACATGCAGCTTCTGACCATCTCATTCGCCTTTCCCCTAGTATATTGTTCCAAATAATATAGTTTGTCAGAGTCCTCCGATGTCTTGGACTCTATTACATGCTGAAAAGCCCTCTTAAAGGCGTGGTAGTTCAGGGGATTCCCGTCGAAAGGCTGAATGTTCCTTTGCGGTAAGGCGGACTTCATATGACATTCTAAGAGCATATACGTAAGTTGGGTTTGTTGTCGCTGCAGCTCTACCCAATCAACATCACTATCAGAATTTGTTCCACTTACTCGTACATCTTGCAAATGTTCTCGGTTCTTGCGTCCTTGCGTTGAACTCTCTTCTGAGCAATCTGCATTCTTGACTTTGTGACTTGTTTGGTTCCTATCACTTTCATGTGTTACATGAGCAAAGGTTGGTAATGCAGGTGGCTGGTGAAAAGCTACCGTATCGTCGAACTGCTGTAATGCTGCTGCTTGGGCTGTAGCTGCAGCTAATTCGGTCTCAACAGCAAGTTGCTCCTTTCTTCTTATTAAGTCCTGCTCTTCTTTCTCGAGCTCCTGTTTCCTTTTTAAACTCTTCAACTTTGCTTGCAATTCTGCTCTCTTCATGGCTGTTTCCATCAAAAATTTCCTGGAATGTGATGTTGATTTGCTTGATACTTGAGATACACTGTCATCTACTTCAACCCTCTCCATCGCTGAATGTTTTCCTGCGTTCATTGAAGGAGAGTCAAACAGTTGGTTGACTTCCATCCATGGGTCTCGATCATGCAGTAACGGGTCCATCCGAATACTAGTAGCTGGATCTTGTTCATCCTGCCCTTCCATGATGATCTGATCCACTGACACAACAATCCTAATGTGGGGCTGTATCCATGACGGCTGCTGTCAACCTAAGGCTTTCAAGTATGCATTTCATGTGCTTATTCTTCTATACCACATTCACTGTTGCAGGTTTTCCAGCCTCTTTCCATATTCTGCACCGCTTGTAACTCAGGCGATATCAGCTGCAGCTAACCGGCATATTTCTGATTTCCAAAAACTTCCTGAAATAGCTCCACTAGTAGTCTAGTATGTATGCCACTAGACTAGACCCTCTACTCTAGCCTTCTGTAATTAAGAGCAGTAGCCAGTAGACATATTCTCCATTCTTGGCTAATCTCTGACTGACATTTGTCCATTCAAATCAACCGTAACATCTGGCCTTCTGGGCATCTAAATATAATGTAGATCTGGTCTAACCTCTATAGACTAGACTGGAGTCTAGAAATCTAGTCTTAGTCACTGTAGATTCTACGTCTACATCTCAAGTAGATATTTCAGGATTCCAATTTCTTTATCCTTTTCAACAGATTCCTGAATGCTAACCAGTCTCTTTATTTAACATCGTTAGGCCTTCCTCTGTTAGCTTGTGAAACTAGAATTTTAACTTAGAATGTGGGTGCAAAATGACCTTGAAGTAGTCAGATAGTCTGTCTTTAGTTCTCCATTTTTAGACTAGGTCTGGAGGTCTAGGCTTAGACCTAGACATTAATTCTCTGACTGTATTCTGTCCAATCACGTCATTCTTTCGACTTAAAATACACCCACAAGTGATCATGCTCTATTCATACTCATAGACCTCTCTAGTCATATTCTCATTTATCAGACTGGTACTGCACTGGTCCCTTGTTGTTCACGATCACCTTTGACTGGCCAAGAACCCAAGTTCACCTTATTATAGTTTCAACGCTCCTCTCAGCTCCGTTCCGCCCTTTAATATCTCGCAATCTGACACTATTCACACGTACATCGTCAATCCACGTACCGTACTGTAGAATTGCAATTGCAAGTGTAGAAATCAATTGTCGAATACCAATATAATGTCTCGAAAACTTTAATTTTGAAGCCTTTACTATAACCACATTTTACGTTACTCACGTCGGGTCGATCACAATGTTATTATACAATGATTGCATCCATTCCAATTGTTGTCCAAAACCAAACAAGATCATAAAACGGAAATATGAAGTAGGGAGAAGAGGTTAAAATTCTGTCTTGTTTCCAAGGGTTACTGCCAGTGATTATTCGCGCTTTACCTCCCCTCAAACTTATTGAATTTTAAAAACCGACAAGAGATGGCGCTCTTGCATTAGTTTGGCATCTACAGGAGTATTTTTTAGTTCAGATTCAGAAGTACTATGCATTTTTTGAGGGGGAATGTAAACAAATGACTTCGTGTGTGTATGTGTGTAGGTGTGCGTTTCTCAATGGAGCCCCACATAGTGTCGCATTGTGAACGAAACCGCATCAGTGAACTCGCTCACACACTACTATACTACACTCCAACACACACACAATGCATACACAGCAATAGTGTTTCTGCTGTTGTGGCCCGGTGTAAGGAAAAACTGAGCGAAGTATCATCAAATCCTGCCGTTTTCAACCTTTCTAGTACATGAATTATCTCATTTATAGCATACAGTGAACTCTCAACTACGGATTTTTACACTTTCAGGAGCTAAAAATATATGGTCAGCTAAAATATACGGATATAAACACTTCAGTTGATGCAAGCTTCGGCGCCAGGTGCACCACCGTACCCGTACGTACGCGCCGTACTGAAGTCGTCGCCTTCGTATCTCCGTCGTGCATGCATCCAGCGCATATACATGTAGCGAAGATTCTACGAGAAAAACTGTGTAGGGGTGATCGAACGGTTTGCAGTGATTTGCCAAGCATTGATGTATTTTTGCTTTTTCGCCCATTTAGTATCTTATTCCAAGCTGCAAATCCCAGGAATACGTACAGGATAATGTATAATAAACATTGATACTGCTTGCATGGTAAAGATTCGTTCATTTTTCATGTTTTACGGAGCTGTGACTGAGCGCCTCAACTTCGAAAACCGACGAAACTTGGGTTGTTAGCTCCACATCTTGAAATCGCTCTTCGCCCGCACCGTAGCAGCCGTACGGCATCGGAGTTAGTACATCACGGAGTTCCTGTGTAGGAAACTGGGTCAGTCATTTTCCACAGACGTTGTAAGACGGAATAGGATTGAATTCACAGACATTTCACTCGACGTCAAACTGTGAAACACAAAATGGGTTATTTGGTGCCACTTCACGTTCTTGTAACGCTGGTCTTAGTGTCTGGGACGGTCTCAACGAATCAAAATGTGGAGACTGGTAAGTTCCTTGCATTTCCACTGGAGGAATCTGCATCATGTAATTTTGTGTGTGGATGGATGTTGCAACTTCAACTGGGAGTATAATGATTGAGAGAGTAATACTGCACAGAATTTTTGTGTACCCGCGCGCATATTATTGCACATGTATCATACATAGCTTTCGACATGGTCATTCTGAATCATCGGGTATAATATTAATAATCAAATAGGCTCTTGAAATTTAACATTTTTTGGGAAATGCATTGAGATGGAAAGATGAGGATGATAGTAAAAAGGGGGAAGGGCAGAACAAGTTTCACTGAATCCTATAATGTTCATGTTTAATTTCGATAGAATTAGAAGTGCATATTAAATACAATTTATATCATGTTTTTAATAAAAGTTTCAGGATGTTATGTTACGCTCTTTATGATTTATAATTGATGTTAAGACTTTTTAATGTTTGAAAGTGGTATTTATTGTTCAACAGAATGGCTCAAATGACTACCACTACATGACTTCTAAATTCTACTAGTACTACTTCTACTTCTACTGCTGATAATGTATATAGTATTACATTTACAGTGCTTACTACTTCTACTACAACTACTACAAAACTACTACTACATTTGCACATTCTAAGCTTTTTTTAAAGTACTGAGCACTACTAATGCTTGTACTATTTCTATAGTTCTACCCCACCATAACTTTTGTGAAGGGGAGGGTCCATATCTTTGCAAGGGGGGGGGGGGGGTTGCAAAATATGAAATATGGGTCATGGTTACATGTACATGTATATAAATACAACAATGAAATCTTTGACAAGATTTGACAAAGTACCTTTTTGTTAACTAAATTATGAGAAGGGTGAGTTAATTTGATGGTACTATAGTATAGAGTATAGGGGGCCTCTAGTGCCCACTGCCTACACTCACTAATGAATCCTGCATGTACTTATATTTCTGCTACAATCAAACATTATCATACATGGAATAGTTTACTTAATGCTTATGGAAATCTGTTATCAAAATGAAATTGCTATAAATTGCCACTCGTGACTAATGACATCCATGGACTTTGCTTGGCACATGCATCACATGGCGGAGAGGGGGGGGGGGGGGGTCATAAATACATTAACTATTAAATCATTTACATGCACTTTGTATTCCATCCAGTGTGTGATATATAGATTAAATTGATACTATCTATCCTACCGGTATGCTAGACAGACAGTAGACATGGTAAAATGAGATAATTTGCCTATATTAAAATGGAAAGGTCAACTGCCAAATTGATTCTTCAAAAAGAGCTCTAACAAAGGTTGGCTCACGCCCGGTCTCTACACAACACTCCATAAAATGGGTCATAGAATTGATACGTTAATAATTATTCACAGATCCAGATCCAGGCCGTATTTCATGTCGCCGCTGGAAGGCTTGGTATAGAATAATAACATGAATGGTTTTATGTGAGTTGCAGAGTAAACTGTGAACATACTGTTAATAGCCTAATGAGCATTCCATATTCATCCTCATGAGACCAGCCCATAAAAAGTTAATCCAAAATGATTTGATATGAAGTACAGTGTTTACCTATTTCAAATCGATCATTCATGGTTGCTTATGCAAATTTGGTCAGGCCCCATTGAGCGAGTGGGCTTTGTTAGTCCGAGGGTCATTATGAATAGGTTTAGCGGTCCTCCTTTTATGTGTGCATAATACATGCGCGTTCAGCAGTGTGATTGAAAATACAAGGCAGTGAATACATAGAGGGGCACGAAGAAGCGATCAGTGCACCCCTCCTCAACTCTACTGTAATGATCCCGTATTTTAAGTATGAAATAATCATGTACCCCCAAAAACATTGCTACATTCTGAATTGAGACGAACGTTACAAAAGTTACGAAACTGATTGACTATAGGGGCATGTGTACATAGAGTTGGTTAGGTCAACGAAATTCTCATTATCCAAGTTTTAATATGATTTGGACCACCCAACATGACTTTGTGTTCTTACAGGTGTATCTCTTTTTACGCATTTTTGTATTCAATTTGTCTCGAAATGAGCGTGTACATGGTCATGTAGGGGGGGGGGGGACTAATGGTCTAGATTTTGTTTATATTATGATGGGTTTACACATTTTGCATATTATCCAAGTATTTTTATTTAAAAAGTGTGCGTGGCGTAATTTTATATAAGAGAGATCTCTTTCTGTTCCAAGCATATTACATGTACACTACATGTACATGTGAAACTCTGCCTGAATTGAATGAACCCCTGGATAGTGAACTTCGAATCGATGTAGGTCTACTTTGAATGACATACACGTATCTCTGCGAGAAGAACCCCCCTTACACAGAAAGGAGATTGTATGCAATATAATCAATCATGAGCTGGCGCCATTGAGAGGAAGATGTGGGGGGGGGGGGGTGAGTGCTCTTGCTGCAGCTCTCACTAATTGACCCTTCAGTGAGGTCAACCAAACAGTATGAAATCTAGAAGTTCCTCGGTAACCAAGCTAAAGCTTCGTTCTTGGTATATGATCTAATTCTTAATTATTATTTACGAATATTGATGCATCATGTTTGATATATTATTAGTGAGATTTTAGTAATATATTTTTATTCGGGCCAATACAAGAAAATATGAATTGATCCTCGGCATGCATCGAGCCCTC